GCCCAAGAAAGTGAGTAGGCAGAGACAGCATGCTGGGTTACTGTTGTCAGGGGTCGGGGTGGGCAAGAGCAAGTGTTGAAACTGTTTTAGCCAATAGTGATGGTGGTAGAGCACAAATGTAATTAGGAGGTGGGTACAGTAGCAATGATAGAATCAGTGCGAGGAATCACTAAGAGGATTGTGGCACTTACATTGGCAGAGTTGGGAACGACATTGACCTTCCTATAGTGTTGTGCATTCCTCCAGGTGCCTAAGATGGCACCGACTTTAGTGGCAACCTCAGACAGGCTGGCATGATCTGGGGTCATAGCCACCATTGCTGGACCTGAGGTAGAGGGTGTTCTGCATCCAACTGCACCTCTTACTAGCAAAGAGAAGAATCAATTTCCCTTTTGTGTCAGTTTGAGGCAAATGTCAGGGAGTGTGTAGGGCAGCTCTGGACTGACAGTGTACAAGAGGCTTTCCAAGATGGTGTGGATGCATGGGATGCCAGTCTTTTGGATGGATTTCTGCTGAGTGGTGAGTTGTTCCCAGAATGGCACATAGTCAGCTGGGGATAGAATCAGACATGAGGATGCCAGTTGTGGTGGGGCAGGTAGTTAATGACGTAAGTTTGGCAAGATATGGCACAAAATCTTGCTAGGCTTTGTTGCAGAGTCTGTGAATATGGTGGGTCATAGTTTTCTGTTTGTTTCAGGTGATCATTACTAAAAATTTACTTTCAAGTAAAAGAAAAAAACATATTGTCGAAGTTTCAGACAAAATTCAACCTGAACAGTAGACCTGCCTCTGGATTATCTGTGATTAGGACACTACTGTTTTCAGTGGTATCTGGGGGGAGTATAGCTTGGACTGAGTGACACTGAGGCTGAATGATGCAACACGGGAGATCAGTGAGCTTGGATGAGATGGATGATTTGAACGTTATATGGTGTTATGGGTGACCTGGAGGTCAGAGACAGATACATTGGAATCAGTGCGAGTATCTACATACATCAGTACTGTTTTCCTACTATCTCTGTTTTCAGTGGAGATGTTTTTAATCAAACTGCTCAGACCTGTTATGACACACCTCTGGAGCCTGTGGGCCTTGAACTTGGGTCTCTGGTTCAGAGGTACGGGCACTGTCAGTGTATCGCAAGACACCTCTGCTTTTTGTGGACCCTTTCTCCCATTACCAAGCCCTGGATGTTTGTGTGGGCCGTGAAAGCCCAGTTTGAGCGGTTTTACCCTTCCAAGTGCATATCTGAACAAATGTAACTTTTTATCTAGGATTTCTGTCTTTTCATGCAGATTTGGGCTTCTTGGTGAACTTCACAATCCCCGATGGAGTTTGGAAGAATGTGGATGTGGGTGCAGGCTGCTTAACAAGCCTGCCTTGGTTCTCCAACATAACAGCACACTTATCGACACTTTTTCAAAGAATGCCAAACTTCGCCCATCAGTCTCTCGCACTGATTCCAATGTATCTGTCTCTGATCTCCACGTCACCCATAACACCATATAACGTTCAAATCATCCATCTCATCCAAGCTCACTGATCTCCAGTGTTGCATCATTCAGCCTTAGTGTCACTCAGTCCAAGCTATGCTCCCCCCAGATACCACCCCATGCTCATCAGAACCCTTCTGTCACACCATGCTGCTTCCGTGCTCTCCAATCATCTTCCATTACTACTCAGCCAGTATGCACTATCTGCAGTCCTCAAGAAGCAGGCAGTATCAAAGGAGGTATTTTAACACATTGGGAGAAGCTTATACCTTTAATAATCTAATAAAGTTCTTATATCAAGCACATCATCATTGATACTGAAAAGAACAACATCTCTGTAAAAAAATTCAATCCATTAAGTATGTGTTAGAATTGTAAATAATTGAGAAATCACATCAAATGCATAGTCTGTTATTACAGCCCCTTGTACTGTTAGCTATACTTGGATCAATAGCATCATATGCCAACCTGAAGCCTTGCAACTTTTTAAATCCATCCAAGCATTCAAAATAGCTACAACTATCATAATAAAAGCTTCCAATAGCATTGATGAAACTGACAGATTAGACTGATGTCTCAGCTCCACTTCACAGCAGAGTGCTCGTCAATATGCCAGCTGAAGCTGACAAGACTTTTAAAGAAAAACATTTTTAATGCTGTATGGGATTTTTGACAATTTCAGAAAAACTGCAGTGTATGTCAATTATTACAAAACATTGGTCAATTATAGGCCAGCGTACTTTATCAGGATATAACTTTGCAATGATGAGTTATTGCAATGAAAGCACATCTACATTTCATTACAGCTTCTAATCGTAGCATCTGAAATATTAGAGCAGTGTACACTTGTGTTTAAGAACGTTCCTGATTCCTCAGCAGGCTTCAACCAGTGATCAGGTACCCTTCAAGGTGGTGCATTGTTTTAGAGCTTCCAAAACCCCCAGCATACAGTGTATCAGAGAGAACAACATTTTCCTGTCATTCTTACAAGGGGTTTCTGATCCCATAATAGTTGTATGTGGAGTTTACACCCAAGGCCTTCTCGACCTACCAAAAAGCCACAAGAAAACGGTGTAGAATCTGAAAAGGAGAGGAATTTTGTTTTTACCAGCAAAATAATCTGTCTTCAGTACTTTGTGACCCAATTTACACTTCAGTTGGGAGAATCTGGCCCAATGTTTTTATGGATATGTCAGTATTTTAACATTTTAATGTTGTGTTTTTCAGGAACCACTGTTGCCATCTGCCTCGATGATGGGTTAGACCCCTAAAGTACTGTGGATATTTTTAAGCTTGTAATTCTAACTTTTGTTTCTTAGAAGAGGTCTGACGCACCCAAAATGTTTGCAGACGTAAATTAAGTGGCTGGCTAGAGAGACAGAGAGAGAGAATAATGGGATGTAACACCTGAAGTGTCAAAGAAACTTCAAACAGTGCAGACTGTGATCTGTATGAGTACAAAGGGCTGATGACTAATTGCTCAACAGCAAGTCATCTTGTTATGAATTATGACCCAAACTGAAGACACAATTTGTGTTTTTCTCTTTTTTGAATACACAAGGATAGGGGTTAAAAAAGCCAGTTTCAACTCCACTGTAGTGGACTGAACATTCTCAATCAGCCTGGGTTCAAGTGTTAATGTGCTGTGAAGGTCACACAGTTGGAAAACTATCCTCTAGTTATCCAAGTGTGGAGCTGGCAGAACACAGTAGGCCAGGCAACATCAGAGGAACAGGAAAACTGACGTTTCCGGTCGGGACCCTGCACCTGCAGTTCTTGCTATCTCTATCATCTAGTTACCACTGTGTTGACGATGGAGGAAGACTGTTTTACTCCAAGTGCTGCAAACCAGTTAGAGAATGGAATCCGGACAAAGGAATTTCAATTAGCCAACAACACCAAGAATCTCAAAAAAAAGACTGTTCAACTACCAAAACCAACTTTGACATTATCTACTGCAAAAGCCACAATGTTCAACTATCTGCTCTTCATAAACAGTTTGGAGATTATTTCTGTATTTTTAACCTTTTATTCTTTTGACTCATCTCTTGTGTCTAATCTGGATGTATTGCTGTTGTATGATTAATTCTTATTGCGTTTAGTAATTGATAAACTTTGTTAACCCAAGGAAACCTGGTTAATTTTGCCCATTTTAAAACACCAGCTTTTTTGAGCCTATGAGGAAGATATCCACAAGGTATGTGATTATTTTTTAATTAACGATTGAAGCTAACTGAGGGAGTGGCTGAATAAAGAGGAGCCAGTTCAGCCTCCCTCACCTGGTACCTTAACAGTTTATGGTATCTGGGGTCCAGAACTGTAATAATTTGGAGAACCTCACCAAGGAATCTGGTTGTAACACATCAATTCCCGACTTCAACCCTTACAGTTTACTTTTGTTGTGTACCTGCTTGACTGATTTACTGCTTGGTAGCAGCTGATAGCCATCTACTGTATCGCTCATGTATAAAAGGCTTGACCTCCAGGATGAAAGGAACTTCAGAGAAAGAGGAGAAACTTGCACTGGTAGACAAATTAACCGATGTGGAACCAGAAGGAACCAAAAAGCTCAGCTGGTCTGTCACCTGTGGAGTGAGAAATAGAGATAACAAGGTGTAGAGCTGGATAAACACAGCAGGCCAAGCAGCATCAGAGGAGCAGGAACGCTGACGTTTCGGGCCTAGACCCTTCTTCAGAAAATTTCTCTTCAGAGAAATAGAGTTGACTTTTCAGGTCCAATTGATTCTGAAGAGAGTCCTTTTGGAATTTGAGACATTAACCTGCTGAACATTTCCAGCAACTTCTGTTTTTGTTAACTTTGCTTCTGTCTCCAACAGATTCTTCCAAACCTGTTGAGTTTTCCCCAATGCTTCCTGTTACTTCAGATTTCCAACATTTGCAGTACTCAGCTTTAATTGAAGGAGAAGTGATGAGAGCGGGTGTAGGAGCCAAATTCTTTACCAACACTCAAGGTATCAATTCATAGTATTGTTTTACAAAGTAAGACACCACTGTGCTGGAGCCCAGCCTGCTGCCTCTGTCAATGTGACTACAATTTCAAAAATATACTTTACTCATAAATTTTCTACAAATAAATACAAGTAAGTATAATTCAGGTTGGTACGATCATTGCAGAACATAGTGGAATCTTGACATTCTACATTGCACCTTCAAGCCAGTTGCAATTCAGTAATGGAAACTATTTACATTCCCATTGTGACTATGGAGGCACCACGACTATAGTGCAACATGGACACAAGAGTATTGGTACTTGCAGCTTTTCGGGGTGGGGTCTGGGTGATTGGCAGACGCCTCTCCCACCCCGATTGTCAATCAACAACTTCGCCCGCCCACCCGCGGCGTCACGTGAACTACGCCGTGACGCGCGACATTCTGTCCCCATTCCTCTCCTCACGCTCTCAAACCCTCCGGAAGCAGTGCGGGTACGCGTTCCCGTGCGTGCGCGGGCATGTGAGCGTGATGACGCAAGTGCGTGCGCACGCTGGTACGCGCAGGTAGGGGTTAGAAGCATGGCGGAAGAAGAGGAGTTTGATGTAGGGAGTCTGAGGAAAGAGCTGGAATGGATAGAGAACGAGCTGCGAATGTCCCTGGGCCAAGTTAGCGCGTCTAACGAGTACTGCCTGAAGTTCTGTCGAGTGAGTGTGCTGTTGCTTTGTTGTTGTTGTTG